GGGGGGAGGGGGGAGGGGTGGGCAGGGCCGGCAGTAGACTCACCTGGCTCTGGGGCATAGAAATGATCAGCTTTGGTGGTCCTGTCATGGAACAGGCCATCTCCAGGACGAATATTCACATAGTGGATGTGGGCTGCGGCCTGGGCCTTGTCATACCTGCAGATCGGGGGGGATTCGTCTGATCCGGGCCCTTGCAACTCCCGGGAAATGGGAGAGAGGCAGGCTTCCCAAAGGCCAAGTTGTGGGGTGCTAATGGTGGGAGAGCCTTGCTTGTAGGTGATGGAGGCTTCAAAGGCACAGTATTGGCCCCAGAGCCTTGGATGGCACGCTCCACGAGTCGCTGAGAGCCCGTCACCCTGGTGGAAGGCCACCGTCCCTTTGTACCTGTCTGGGGGCAGACCCTGGGGCCTGTAGGCTTGCTTCTGCTCTGAACACATGGGCCCATGGCCAATCTTGAAGTCTCCCAGTTCCACGCTGGAGAAGGCCTGTGGGCGGACAGAGGTGGGAAGGACAACCCCACCCAGACCCTATCGCTGCCCTCCCCCACAGCACCAGCCCCACCTCGATTTACCCTCTTACACATCAAGGCCGGTGCGCTCGGCAGGGCCTGGAAGTGCCTCTGGTAGGAGGTCCCATCATCCTGTCTCCTGTGGTCCCACCTGAGGGGGTTGAGACCCCCTGAGGATGAGCAAGAACAGACAGAGAAGGGCACTGAGCCCCTGCAGCCTCAGGCCCACTGGGATGCAAGTCCTCACCTGGAAAGGGGAGCTGGGCAGTCCTGACTAGCCTTGCCTGAGGGCTATGTGGAAAACACCAAAAAATAACACAAGGAATGATAACAAGAATAACTGCCAAGTATTGAACCCAGCATCTAGGTTAAGTGCTTTGAACCTCATTTGCAGGGTTCATAATTCTCCCCACTTTACAGCCTTCCTGAGGCTCAGAGAGGCCAAATGACTTGCCAGAAGTCACGGAAATTCAAAACCAGAACAGAGTCAAGTCCAGATCTGACAATCCCTGAGTCCAGCGTGGAGGGACTCTGACTAGTGACATGCACCAGCGGGTCCCCTGGAGTCACAGAATCGGAAAATCACACAAATGACAGCTACTCTTTTTTGAGCTCTCACTCGATGCAAGGTGCATCATACACTCTGGGCTCCTTTGGCTTCAGCAGCTCCTATGAAGTGGGGCGCTCTTGTTGCACTGAGGAAAATCCAGGCTTGGAGAGGTCAACTTGCTCAGAGTCACATAACTACTATGGTGGCAGGGCTGGGGTGGCAACTTAGCAGATTTGTCTGATTCCAAACCACCATTCGTGACTTCTACCCATGGCGCAGCCCCTTGAAAAACATTCAGGAGCTATGCCATTCTGTGTTTATAGAAACTGAGGCCCAGGGAGGTTCCTGGTTTTCTCAGCCCGGCACTGTTCACATTTGGGGCTGGATAATTCTTTACCGGGGCGAGCTGTGCTGTGCATGGTAGGATGTTTAGCAGCATCCCTGGCCTCCCTTCATTCCCTGCTAGTAGCACCCCCTCCGTGGGTGATGACAACCAAAATGGTCTCCAGGGGCGCCAGGGTGGCTCAGTTGGTTAAGCAGCTGCCTTCGGCTCAGGTCATGAGCCTAGGGTCCTGGGATGGAGTCCCACATGGGGCTCCCTGCTCAGCAGGGAGTCTGCTTCTCCCTCCCCCTTTGCCCCTTCCCCCTGCTCATGCGCGCGCTCTATTTTATTTTTTTATTTTTTTTAAAAGATTTTATTTATTTATT